TTAATTTTATTACATTTACTGATACATATACATGCTCTTATGTTGTGTACAAAGTTTGAGCTCATTCCGATCAAAATTGGATTTTTTTACAAATTTTTAAAGTTGTTCAAAATTGGGCCAAAGTTCCTGTACTATATTACATGTACACGGTCTCGGGCCAAATTTTGCCAAAATTCAAAAGGAGGAAATTTCTCAATTTTTAAAAATTTTCTGATGCATATACATGTACTTATGATGTGTACAAATTAAGTTTAAGCTGACTCCATTTCTCTCTCTCTCTCCCCAGACACTAGTATTAACATGTCTGATGCACCTAGTTGGACACAAGTACACCATCATCTTTGGTCTAATAGTACAGGCTATACAACTATTCATTTATGGCGTGTGGACCAGTAAATGGCTAATGTGGACAGCTGGTGTCTTTGCCGCTTTATCAACAATCATATACCCAGCTATTAGTGCTTTAGTCAGCAAAAATGCCGAACCAGAACAACAAGGTAATATTAATTTTATAATTTTAATATTAATTAATTATTCAATTGTAAGTGTGGTTTTGGGTATTTTGACTGGAATGAGAGGATTATGTAATGGATTAGGCCCCACCCTTTTCGGTCTCAAATTTTATCTGTCTCACGTTCATTTAAAGGAAGTGGGTAGTGTGAGCGTTGCCATGGCAGCGACTAGCAGTAATAATATTCATGGGTTGGGCGAAGTCAGCCCTGTACTAATTAATGGGACAATGTCACCTACTGATATCAGCATGCATGAGGTAAAAATTAAGAAGTTGATTATTAATTTTATTATTATTATTATTATTATTATTATTATTATTATTATTATTATTATTATTATTATTGATAGGGTGGTCTATTCAGAGGTCTTCCATTCCTCTTTGGTGTAATACCAGTACTAATTGCACTGGTTGTTGCCTTGTGTATTAAAGATACTAATAGTTTTATGAAGAAATCATCAGGTAAGAATTGTATTGTACATCTGTGTTCTAAATGAATTTAAATCAAAATTGATTTTAATCAAATACTATAGACATTGTTCATGTTGTGTTTATTAATTGACAGTGATTCTTTTAATTTTTAGAACACAATTCACTCAATGTATTATGACAAGTGGACTGAAGTAGTATTATACTAATATTATTATTATCATCATCATTTTCATTGCTCATTTTCATTGTATGCACACACCTATATAATCAGTGTAATAAAGTGGCCATTCAATAATCATTATTATAAAGAAATAGGATATTGCAATTTAGGATGTAATCACTGAAATATCAGTGTACTCCCAATCAACTGCCTCTTCTGAAGAGGCTTTTGCCTTTTTACCAATTTGGTTCCGAGTCTTCCGATCAATTTTGCTCTTCGAATGCAAAATATCATTTTAGGGTATTCATTTCTTCTGCAGTGACGTTCATTTACGTCACAACTACTGACCAACATAATATGACGCTAATCTGATAGCGATCAGCGCGCGCTCAGCCACGCTGCGATGGGAGAAGCTCAGATTTGAGCCTGTTTAGCCAACGAGAAGAGTAATCTGGCTGGACCAGCCAGACTATGAGAAGAGTAGAGCAGGGCATATGCTGCCAGGTAATGTATTGATGCAAATAAATGGGACTATCCTACTGTGCATTAGGCTAGTACGTCGAATTTCTACTCATTTCACACTAGTTAGCCTTCATTTTCCACATACCCACACCCACACAATACTACTACTACAATTATAACTTCTAAAAAAGTGAAGACAAATGATTGGTTACAGAAATGCAAAATAAAATGATGTTTTCAAAATACATTCCATCTCCAGCAATAATATTAGTAAATATGTCAGAAAAACTTGGATTAGCACGCTTCATCATTTCATTTCATCTGAGAACTAAGTCAGGCCTCTGTGAAAGAGGATCAAGGCCAAAGTAACTGTATCTCTGCAAAGAGCCTCCTTCAGATTCGTAAAGATCAATAGCCTCTTCCACACTTGGGATGTCTGCTGCATCAATCGCTGAAATATAATTGTTTTGGCGAGATAGCGCTTCTGGAATACCTTTCCCTAAATTCAAGAGAACAGAAATTAATGGTATTACACATAGGAAAAATCCAAATTGTACACAAAGCCAACCTGGGATTGCATGATAATTCCAAGACTCTACAAATCTCTTAATTCCAACATGAGCAACTTGGCATGAGACAAATGACACACAAAACTTATGCATGTCACTTTCCATGTTTATAGTGCCACTTTCAGCCATTGCTAACAGCAACCTCTTAATAGGGTAATTCACTCGGGAGTCAAATTCTGTAAAAATTACGTGCAATTGCATGCACAGTAATCATTAGAAAAGTACAAATAATAATTGCTATTACAATAATTTCAATAATACCTCAGTTGAAGGTGACTGTACATATGATGCTATACTACGAGGACCACAGTTTGTACGCAGATGATCTTGGATCCTCAAAACTAAATAGAACTCTCTACCATGGTCAACCCTAACCTGGTGCCACAGTCCATTTTCAATCACAGCTTTCCTGAGGAAAAATTATGTACAATTTCAGGATAAGAATGTGAATTACGCACTAAAGCATTGATTACCCCTCACTCTCAGTGCTGTTTCACATACCTGAAAACAAGGTCATATATTGCAATACAATTTTTCACCGGCATGATTCCAAATGCTACGATTTTACCAGAATAGCCGTCTCTAGCAATGACAGATGTAACGCCAAACAATGACAACTTTTCGTTCTGATCCATATGTATTTTGTGACCAAAATGGCAGGCGAGATAGGGAACTGGATTACTTCTCTCTAGCAAATCATTTCTCCTGCCTTCATAAGCCTCAGGAGCAACTTCCCATAATGCGGATGCAACTCTGGGTTGTGAAACAGGGTAGCCTTTTGAGAAAAGGTATCCAAAAAGGAACCTTGTCATAAGTTTAAGATCATATAAAGCATCAACCTACAAAATATAATTATTACAAATAAAATAATGTTTAGTATTAATTTGATAAAACTATGCCTGTACAGTAAATAGAACATTCGTTACATGTGTAAATAATAATTGCAAATTAATACTTAATCCTCACCAGCCCACCCATCAACTTTGTGTAAATGAGATGCACTATGATACTGTAAATGAGCAATGCTGGATACTGCCTGGAGCATGATGTGAGTCTTATGATATATATATTACCCCCTAAACTTACACGAGACAACTCCATCACTAAATCTAACGATTCATAATACCAGCACTGCCTAAACTACACTGACTATATGTACAATGGCAAGTATTTGGCTGCTGCTCTCTTTTTCACAAATTGACTGCTAATAAAAGCATACTGCATTGATTAAACTGAGTTGATTGGCCCACTACTATGATGCCGTACATACAGTTTAACATATATCTACAACTACCTGTTCAGCTAGCTCCTGGTTTGCCATATCGGCGACATTGTTGACTGTTCTTGTAGACGAACCTCTTCTGCTACTGCTATAAAACCTCTGCTCTAGTAGGCCCAGTGGTAATTCCGAGGGTAATTCATTCATCTTCTCATTCACAATCAGGATCACGTGATTACTAGCACTAGGTGGAGCAATTACTATTAAGATCATCCTGGCCCTGCCCAAAAGATCTAAACTGGTTTCATAAAACAAAAATTAACAAATCATATTGACTAAATGAGTGAGAGCCTTGATAAATGGGATAAATGAATAACCAAAAAGTGGTAATAAGTAAGATAATCGTTAGTCTTCCACAGTATATTTCGATAAAGTTTCACACAAACTCCTCATTTCCGGAAGTTTTACCAACTCTTCTAGGTCAATGACGCTTCTACAGTGAGGGCATGTCCTTGTGTCACTCACCCATTGTGAGACACAACTTTCACAGCCAAGAATAAGGCTTACAACAAGAGCTCCAGTAAGCTGGAAATTCCATTCTCATACATATTACACAAGTAAAACATGAGGCTACTAAATCTATATCTTGCTTCAATGATGTAACTTGATACTTTAATGATGCACATTCGGCCTCACATAATAGTAGCTTCGTACTAGGGTCAGTATCTGAGCGAGAATTAAACATCACCGACTTTTCCAGTTTACTCAATCTCATCTCAACTGAATCTCTAGATTTCTTCTTTGGTTTCTCACAGGAGGCATACTCTTCATAATCCTCAAGCAAAACACCTCTAATTTTCCGGGCTGTCCTCCAGAAGGCAGCACCTAAACAATAATGATGTAATGTAATACCAATCAATATATAAGCAGTATAATTATGTAGCTAAATTAAGGCTAATAATAATTATTTTGCTAATATATAATAAGCTGTAGCCCATACCTTTAGTACTTGAAACATCCATGACTTTCAGAAACTTTAAGTCCAATAATACCACCTCTTTGCCATCAAATCCGTCAGCACTCACCATCCTTGTTACTGCTTCTACATTGGCTGTGTCCTCTCTCAATTTCACTGGTAAAGTTTGTATCTCCTCCCATCTCCTTTCCAGACCATTCCACTGGCATAGCTCAACTGATTTCATCCATTCCTGGCCAACATTTCTTTCATTCTCGACATTAAGTACACCAGGAGGGACTCTTTTTGATTTCCACACTTTTCCTTGCTTTCCCTTCCCTCGACTATATCCTGAACAACATCCTCCATAAGAATCGCTACGGCCTGGCTGATACAAATACTTAAGTTCTTCTGGTGGTTGCACCACTTGCTCAGGTTGTGGAGTGCCAAAGCAGTCCCAATGGTCTACACGACTTATACTACCTACTGCAAATGACCCATCTTCTTCTGCTGTCAAAATATCCCCATCTTTCGATAACAAAACTACAGTTTTGGGTATATATCCAAATATTGTGCCTAGAATTTCACGGTTTATAGTCTGTCCTGCTTTCAGTGTGACTTTTGTTGTTCCAGAGAGCGAACCAATACAACACTGTTGCTGCATGTTTCTGTTCTCTCTGACTCTCGGGCTCTAGCTTGAATTAGGCTTTCTGGAGGTATGTATATTTACTATTTTAGTCCATTTAGGCAAGTCCGCTTTCTTCCGTATACGTCCTGTATAATATCGTTTTCTTGAACTTCCGCTTTTTTTCCGTGTAAAAAAAATAGAGCTTTATTCCAAACTCGTCTAATTTCTAAGCTCTAGTAAAGTCCAGCTAGAGTCTAGAGAAAGCAAATAACCGAGCAGTCTACCAGAATTTCCCACAAACACTGAGTCAGCCAACTTCAAGTCAAGTATGATACGGAACAACCAGTGACCTATGGCAGAAACGTGCGACTTAACTGAGCATGCGCATAAATTTTAACCGCGCAAATGTAATACCAGCCCAGTCGGGGCGTGGTACGTACATGGAGCTTGTTGATTGCCATGGTTACTGAGCTTAAATGCAAAATTGGTTGCTCCGCCACTGTCAGTATTACACATTGCTGTTTCAAATAAAGAAAATGATTAAAAATAGTTTCAGATAGTATTATTTTGTTTGGGAATTAGCTAAAAGCATGATTTTAACACTTCATGTGGCCCACTCATAATGAGATGTTTTAAGCAGTGAAACCATAGTCTCTAATATCAATGGTTAACTTGAACTCTGTGGTTTTTTTAACTCACTTAAAAATACAGGTTACTATGTAAAAATCGATGAAAATTGAAATTATTGATGCAGAAAGCCAGAAACCATCATGCACTGAGTTCTCTGAAGGTTTGGTAAAGGCTATTTCAGTGGTTCAGCCTTTTTACTATAAACCACCTTCTATAGCTAAAAGCCAGGAATATTCAAGCATTAATAAAAGTTAATGATTGCAAGCTGATATAAAAATTGCTTGATTTGTCCTATAGTCTTAGTCAAGCCCAGTCAAGTAATAACTAAGCATGGGCTGAAGGCCAAAATTAATTCACAATGTACAAATTATGTATCCAGTTGCAATTAAGTCTCAGTTTTGCTTAAAACATTACCTGTTAGCTATAAAAGGTAGTATATGGTAAAATTGATGAATGATGATGCAGAAAACATGAGTTCTAGCCTGGAAGATACCCAGCCATGCCCACTATGAGTGGGCGTTAATGCTTGGAAAGGGTGCTTTTAGCTCTGTATTTCATTCATTTTAAGCAATTTTTTAATGCAATTTTTTACACAATATAACCTACATCTATACTAAATATTCAAGTAATTGGAACAGCAATAGTATGTTTTTTAAAACAGTTAAAATTAAAAATAGAATTTTTGTTTTTGTCAAAAGGCTAGCTTTATGACAGTATAAAGCTTTCTGTGGTAAAGTTGGCCAATTTTTTTATGAGTTTTAGTATGGTTTTAGTATCTGATATAGCTAGCCTTTTGACGGAAAACCAGAAATTCTATTTTTAATTTTAACTGTTTCAAAAAACATAGCTATTGCTGCTCCAATTACTTGTATACTTAGTATAGGTGCAGGTTATATTGTGTAAAAAATTACATGAAAAAATTGCTTAAAATGAATGAGATACAGAGCTAAAAGCACCCTTTCCGAGCCTTAACGCCCACTCATAGTGGGCGTGGCTGGGTATTTTTGAAGCTAGAACTCAGGTTTTCTGCAGCATAATTGACCAGTTTCACCATAAACCACCTTGTATAGCTAACAAGTAATTTTAAACAAAAATGAAACTAAATTGCAAGTGTAAATAAAATTGGTGTGCTTCACCTAGCTTTGGCCTTCCAAGTTAAGTAAGTTTGGTTATGCTTTTACTGGCTTAAAAGCCCAGACTCAAGACAAATTGACCAATTTTTAAGTCCACTTGCAATTAAGTTTCATTTTCGCTTGAACATTACTTGTAGCTATAGAGGGTGGTATATGGTAAAATTGATGAATGATGATGCAAAAAACCTGAGTTCTAGCTTGGAAGATACCCAGCCACGCCCACTATGAGTGGGCGTTCAGGCTTGTTTTAGCTCTGTATTTCGTTTATTTCAAGCAATTTTTTGATGCAATTTTTTACACAAAACAACTTGCATCTATACTACCCATTCAAGTAATTGGAGCAGCAATTATGTTTTACAGTTAAAATTAAAAAATAAAATTTCTGTTTTTTTTTGTCAAAAGTCAAGCATAGTGACAGTATAAAACTTTCTGTGGTAAAATTGGCCAATTTTGATGCAAAAACAAGTTATAGCTGATAAAAACTCAGCTTTAGCTGATAAAAACTCATCGAGCCTGGTGTTAAATCATTACTATGACTTCACAAAAGAGATTGTGCTATAAAAAGACTGAACTGGCATTGCTAACCACCGAAGGTATTACATATAAGGAAAGCCATTACTTTAAAGAATTCTCTTAGTCAATGAAGTCTATCACATTCGAGATCAGATTTGCTTACCGAGCTAGCCTAGTGCATTTACTGACTGTTACTATAGCAATCAAACAATTCGGTCTGCGCATGCGCAAACTGCACAGTCAGCTACCCGCAATGGAAGATGTACCATTAGCTCTAGTCGAAAATTTTATGAAGAGTGGATTGACATACGATGAAATAAGTTCTGAATTGCGTGAAAGATTTCCTGACAGGAGAGGTTTATCATCGAGGACAGTCAGGAGGTATTGTAAAACAAATAACCTCACCCACATGACGAGTCGAGAGCTACAAGATCTAGTTGAGCAGGCAATTACGGAGGTATGTTAGATAAAATATAGCTTGTGTTCCTCGTTGTGTTTACGGTTATGGTGGACTTATCCTAGGTTTTAATTTTGGCTTTGACACTTCAGCGTACCTCTAGACATTCCAATTAGTGCCTAAATTAGTGAAAGTTTCATAGACTATTTACCAGTTCATGAATAATTATTGTTACTCACCCACATTTACATGATTTTTTGGGTAAAAGTTTTGTTAGGATCCTTTGTCCTAGTAAATCAAGTTATAAATTTCTGATACTGGAATTGTGTGCTAATTTTAATTTAATTAATTTTAATCGGGTTACTATACTATTATTATGAATTAAAATTTGTACATAATTAATCAGGGTATGATACCAAGAACTCCTTGATTTATTGTACCAGCATGATAATTATTACAAACTGAACACTTGTTTCTAATGTCTTATTCTTTGATTACAATAGGTTGGGTCTTTATATGGTCGTAAACTTATGACTGGATACCTTTTCTCAAAAGGCTACCGTGTTTCACAACCCAGAGTTGCATCCGCATTATGGGAAGTTGCTCCTGAGGCTTATGAAGGCAGGAGAAATGATTTGCTAGAGAGAAGTAATCCAGTTCCCTATCACGCCTGCCATTTTGGTCACAAAATACATATGGATCAGAACGAAAAGTTGTCATTGTTTGGCGTTACATCTGTCATTGCTAGAGACGGCTATTCTGGTAAAATCGTAGCATTTGGAATCATGCCGGTGAAAAATTGTATTGCAATATATGACCTTGTTTTCAGGTATGTGAAACAGCACTGAGAGTGAGGGGTAATCAATGCTTTAGTGCGTAATTCACATTCTTATCCTGAAATTGTACATAATTTTTCCTCAGGAAAGCTGTGATTGAAAATGGACTGTGGCACCAGGTTAGGGTTGACCATGGTAGAGAGTTCTATTTAGTTTTGAGGATCCAAGATCATCTGCGTACAAACCGTGGTCCTCGTAGTATAGCATCATATGTACAGTCACCTTCAACTGAGGTATTATTGAAATTATTGTAATAGCAATTATTATTTGTACTTTTCTAATGATTACTGTGCATGCAATTGCACGTAATTTTTACAGAATTTGACTATTGAGAGAATCTGGCCGGAAGTGAACTCCCGAGTGAATTACCCTATTAAGAGGTTGCTGTTAGCAATGGCTGAAAGTGGCACTATAAACATGGAAAGTGACATGCATAAGTTTTGTGTGTCATTTGTCTCATGCCAAGTTGCTCATGTTGGAATTAAGAGATTTGTAGAGTCTTGGAATTATCATGCAATCCCAGGTTGGCTTTGTGTACAATTTGGATTTTTCCTATGTGTAATACCATTAATTTCTGTTCTCTTGAATTTAGGGAAAGGTATTCCAGAAGCGCTATCTCGCCAAAACAATTATATTTCAGCGATTGATGCAGCAGACATCCCAAGTGTGGAAGAGGCTATTGATCTTTACGAATCTGAAGGAGGCTCTTTGCAGAGATACAGTTACTTTGGCCTTGATCCTCTTTCACAGAGGCCTGACTTAGTTCTCAGACGAGATGAAATGATGAAGCGTGCTAATCCAAGTTTTTCTGACATATTTACTAATATTATTGCTGGAGATGGAATGTATTTTGAAAACATCATTTTATTTTGCATTTCTGTAACCAATCATTTGTCTTCACTTTTTTAGAAGTTATAATTGTAGTAGTAGTATTGTGTGGGTGCGGGTATGTGGAAAATGAAGGCTAACTAGTGTGAAATGAGTAGAAATTCGACGTACTAGCCTAATGCACAGTAGGATAGTCCCCTTTATTTGCATCAATACATTACCTGGCAGCATATGCCCTGCTCTACTCTTCTCATAGTCTGGCTGGTCCAGCCAGATTACTCTTCTCGTTGGCTAAACAGGCTCAAATCTGAGCTTCTCCCATCGCAGCGCGGCTGAGCGCGCGCTGATCGCTATCAGATTAGCGTCATATTACGTTGGTCAGTAGTTGTGACGTAAATGAACGTCACTGCAGAAGAAATGAATACCCTAAAATGATATTTTGCATTCGAAGAGCAAAATTGATCGGAAGACTCGGAACCAAATTGGTAAAAAGGCAAAAGCCTCTTCAGAAGAGGGCAGTTGATTGGGAGTACACTGGTATTTCAGTGATTACATCCTAAATTGCAATATCCTATTTCTTTATAATAATGATTATTGAATGGCCACTTTATTACACTGATTCAATTATATAATTTAAAATGGTCCCCATTACTATTTAATTTTCACTACATGATCATAGGTATTATTTGTGGCTGCTAATATTCGCAATAATAAAAGTGTAAATAAGACCACATGTTTAGTGTTCAGCTAATTCACCAATAGTGACTCCTTTATCCATTGCTTCTTGTATGAACCTCTACCTTTGAGCTCTTTGATGCAAATTGTTGCTGGTTGGTTGGAAAAACTAACTGGAATGGGTGGAGAGTTACAACACATGGCAAGTAGTAGAGTAGTTCTGAAAAGTAATGGTTAAAGCAGCTTCAAAGAGACCAAGGGCTTGTAACAGAAAGAATAACAACTCAAGAACACTGCAGCAGGGTGCTTTGCTTTAATATTGAATCACATTTGGTACTACACATGCATGCACGGTATGGTAATTGCTGGTTGCAGTAAAAAATTGTGAATATTAGCAGCGGCAGATATCCCTAGCTACGGCATCGCAGTTCTACATAAATTATAATTATACACATTTTATACAAGTGATAATGAATAAATAAATAGTGGGAATAGACAAAACTGCCTGCTCACCTTTGTACTGGAAATCGAAAACTATGATGATAGGAGTGGCCTTAAACGAGCATGCGCAGTATAAAACGGGGGTGGTCTGCCCAAAAATGGAAGCAAATATTCAAAATGGCGATTACACATGATAAAAATCTTGATAACATCAGTTGATTTACATACTAGTAACAGTAAAAGTAAGAGGCTACAATTGCCTGGCCTCTTATTTCCACATGTTTCTTGTTCTTATCTTCTGACTAAATCACGGTTAAGTTGTTTATAGCGAGTCATAGTAAAACAGGCCGAGCTTCAGGACGATCAAGGATTATCTGCTGTATATTAATTCTCATTTTCTGTATTTGTTAATTATTTATTTATTTACATATTATTTATCACAATCTACTCATTATCCATTTATCACTATCCATTCATTCATTTTTTTGTTGATTATTAATTCTTATATTTTATCTGTTCATTTATTTATCTATTTATCTTATTTTCTCTTTTCTTTTGTTTCTTCTGTTTTCCGGGTGCCAGCAGTTCTTGTTGGTAACCCTTCAGGATGCTTCCTCTGTCCTCTCTTTCTCTCTGTACTGTACTTATTTTTATTGTTCTACGCATTCTGTAAAATTACAATTAAATTAAATTAAATTAAAAGGACTCATTCAGGATGACTTTTAACATCGAGTTTGAGTCTGCCGAAGAGAAAGGTGCCTTTAGTCATCATTTAGAAGATTTTCAATCCTTGCTATCTAAGAACAAGCTAGATAGCTTTGGTCTGTTGACAGCCATGTTTAATTTTATAGTTTTAGTTAAAGCTGCATGATGCATGGCTATTTTGAGTCTTCTGCTGGTATAGGGAGTTAGTAAAACTGTCTGTACTCTTCTAAGAGTCTTTTTTAGATCTTGTGGATGCCTGTGGTGCTTGCATTCTGTGATTCTTCACTGCCCATTTTTAATTACATTCTAAAGCCACCCGCCATTTTTAATTGACTGGGCAGCGGCCGGCAGCCCACCCCCCTTTTATACCCGTGCTCATGCTCGGTGCTGTAGCAATCATCACGTAAGGTGGAGCAGTGGTTATATTCTGCACATGCTCGTTTAACAAGGGATCTTTATTTAAGATATTCATTATTTTAAATTATTCAATATTCATTATTTAAAATGGTTATTAATTAGCAGGTGTTGTCATAATGAAATAAAATGATGGATATGAAGCAGGAACAAATTGTGAGCTTATTTGCAGCAAATCACTAAAAATAAGATTGTACTCCTGTCCAACAGCAAGAAATGGATACAGCTTAAAGCCTGTGACTGTTGCTACAACTATGCTAGATGTATATGTAAGGTAACCTGCTTTGCTTGCTTATTTTTTGTACACTTTGCACATCCTTGCATTTCTAAGATTTTGTGGAATTAAATTTCACGAATTGCTTGCAGACTGCACCACATGGCAATGGAGAGCAGAATTTTGCGGTGAATAATTTTCGCAAATGATCATAAACCCGCGAAAACATTTTACCACGAAAATAAACTGGTATACGGTATATGTACTTAAGTGTGTAAGTACAAGTACATATTGCTTTGAGATAATAGTAAATAGGTATTAATTTAAGTACAATAATGTTTAAGCTTTAAAGTACTTTTCACCTCTCTCCCTCTCTCTCTTAGATTGATGATTTCCTAGCTGGCAAGGCTCCTCTTTCGGTTGCCATTAGATTAGGTGAATCAGTAGTTGTCGTAAACTTGAATCGTGCCAAAGTAGAGGAGGTTGATGTTGAGCCCTCTCAACCTGAACACAAGAAAAGGAAATCCTCTTCAGGTAGTGCTAGAACACACTCACCCCAACAGACCTGCTGCTCTAATCCTTTCCCCTCCTCCTCTTCCTCTGATCTCAGTCCTACCTCACCGCTAAACTCCAACCCTCACTGGAGCTCAAACACCTCCTGTCCCTCTGTATCCCCCACTGTCACTCCTCCATGTGCCATGGTACCTACCATTAGGAGTATAGTACCGGTCGGTACTCCTGCCCTTAGTGATCATGGAGGTTCTTCAACACAGACACTGGGAAAGTCCCTGTCTCCAGCGGATCTATTGATACATGAAGCATCAGCTCTGCCCACCAAGAGACACAGAAGGAGGGACATGATTGATCACTCCTCGTCCTCTCTCCTTCCTCCTCCTCCTCCTAGTTCTTCACTTCCTCCCTCAGGCTACTCAACCTCTCCTCTTGTCAACACTTCATCCCCTCCCTGTCTCTCTCCTTCCTCCTCTTCTTCATGGCCGATCAAAAAAGCCATGAGGAGGTCTACCGGTTCTCGTCCGTCAAAAACCAGTGGAGTAGGAGGTAGTAACAAACTCTCACTGAGTCAGTCTGAGTGGGAGGAGCTACGCCGACTGAATAAAGAGATCCCCATGTCACA